GGAGAGTGTCACGATCATGATGAAGCTGATTATTTACAGTATGGAGAGTGTCACGATCATGATGAAGCTGATTATTTACAGTATGGAGAGTGTCACGATCATGATGAAGCTGATTATTTACAGTATGGAGAGTTTCACGATCATGATGAAGCTGATTATTTACAGTGGGGATAGTTACGCCATCAAAATGAAGTTGATTGTTTACTATGAAGGGATTTACGACGACATCACAATGAAGCAGACTATATACAGTAATTAGAGGTATGTCATCATAATTAAGCTGGTTTAAGCAATGTGATGGCATAAAACCACATTGAATACAGCTTTGGAATAAAACCATCAACATCCTATATAGAAACAAGATAGTTAACGTTCTGCTGTATCATCACTTTAATACTGTTTGGAAGGAAAAACTATCCATCAGCAAAAGAGAAACATCCTATTCAACATGCTGCTATATCATCCATTTTAATAAAGCTTGGAAGAAGATTATCCATTGGCTATAGACAAACATCCTATTCAACATTCTTCTATATCATAATTCATTTTAATAACTATTAGTAATAAAACCATTCATTTACTACAGAGAATCTGGCTGCTGAACGTGCTGCTAAATCATGCATTTATAAGAAAACCATCCATTCGCTTCAGAAAAATAAGCTAATCAACATGAGACTATATCATTACATTGAATAAACCTGGGAATATAGCCATACACTAGATATATATATACTCAAAATACTGCTACAACATCACTTTCACTACATTTTGGGAAGAAAATCACCCACTGGCTGAGGACAAACAGATAACTTTAAATGTAACCACATCATTCCTTTAAATAAAGCTTAAGAAGAAACTCGAAGACTAAAGATAGAGACAGTGCAATCAACATGCTGCTATATCATCACTTTTGATACAGCTTGGGAAGAAAACCATCAACTGGCTATAGAGAAAGAGGTAACTCAAAATAACTATATAATCCCTTTGAATACAGCTTGGGAGGAAAACCATCAACTGGCTATAGAGAAAGAGGTAACTCAAAATAACTATATAATCCTTTTGAATACAGATTTGGAACAAAAACATTCATTCCCTATACAGGAAGAGGTTACACAACATGCTGCTATATCATCACTTTCAATACATTTTGGGAAGAAAATCATCCACTGGATACAGAGAAACAGGTGATTCACAATGCTGTTATATTATCTCTTTGAATACAGCATAATGCTGTTATATTACCTCTTTGAATACAACATTGGAATTGAAACATTCATTGGCTACAGAGAAACAGGTGACTCAAAATGCTGTTATATTACCTCTTTGAATACAGCATTGGATGTGAAACATTCATTGGCTACAGAGAAACAGGTGACTCAAAATGCTGTTATATTACCTCTTTGAATACAGCATTGGATGTGAAACATCCAGTAGCTACAGAGAAACAGGTAACTCAAAATAATGCTATATTATATTATATGTATTGTATGTTTTATTTGAAAATGCTGTTTTTCTACTGGTAAAATTTTATATGTGCTTAGTGGGGGTTGTGTATTAGTGTAGG